CTATATTATTATATTATTTAAAATATTAAATTGAAATAATTAAAAAAAATAAAACAATTAATTTGATTCAATTTCATTATTTCTTTCATTTAATTCCATTTCATTTAATTCCAATTCATTATTTCTTTTATTTAATTCATCAAATAAAAAATTATTTATTATATCTTCAGGATTATAATCTAAAGTTCCCATTTCATCATCATTAATTTCATTTGATATCTCATTTTCATTTTCAAAATTATTTAAATCAATAATATTCTCAATAATTAAAGAATTATTATAATTATTATTTAAGATATTATTATTAATACCTATTTCACTTTCTTCATTATCCAATTCTAATATATCTCCCATATTTGTATTATTAATTACACTTCTTATATCATTTTCAGTTAATTCTTTTCTATAATATTTAAGTTCATTACAAATATTAGATAAATAATATGATCTAGCCTTTGCCATTCCTTCTAATTTTGTAATATTCATTCTAGTTCTGTGATCACCTAAAAGCCATTTTAATGTTGAGAAGTTTTGTTCACAATTAGCTTGTGAAGGAGTTATAGAAAAAAGTCTAATTACTAGTTGTACTAAATGTTGAGATTTTTTTTAATAGATTCCTATCAAACTTGAGAAGTATCTATTTCAGTATAAGCAAGATCAAAAGGATTTAATTTTGCTTCATAACGCCTTAATTGTGATAATAATTCTTTACAGGAATTATCAGAATGTCCTAAATTTTGTCAAAGTTAAATGGCAGTTAAAGCATTTTCTTTAAATACACTATCTTTAAAACCTTTTACTATATAAAATTAAATAATATATTATATAATTATAATAAAAATATTAATATAAATCAATAAAAAGAATAATAATAAAAAATATCTCTATAATATAAATGAAAAAAATAAGTTAACATATAACACTGGTTGAAAATTGATAAATCATATATACATCAGGTATCCGATATGTGTATGATTTATCAATTTTCAACTAGTGTAAGTTGGATGCAAAAATTCTTTATATTTTTGTTAAAAACATTTATTGCTTCTCTCTTAAATAGATTTATATTAGAAATTTGATGTATAGAAATAGCTAATTTAATCAAAAAAATAAAACAATCTGCAAGATCTACTGATTTTGACTTAACTCTATTAATACTTTCTTTAATTGGTTTTCAAATATGACAAATAAATCTACATGTTGAAAAAAAATCTTCATCTTTAAGTATACGTTGTTACCATGGGTTTCCTCTATTTTTATAATTTCTTATTATTTTATTTTATTTTATTCTTATTTGTATTTATTTTATTAGTATAGTTATTTAGTATATTTTAG